TTTTTTTTTTTTTTTTTTTTTTTTTTTTTTTTTTTTTTTTTTTGTCTTTGGTGATGAATATTTAAAAGACTATGAAAAAAAATTAGGCTTCTATATATATATTTGAAATAATTTTAAAACTATATTTTTTATATTAATATATAAATTTAAATATATTTATAATGCCATAGTCCAATTCGATTTGATCTGACCAGTGATTTGTCCGTACAACTTCTTTTTTGATTCTCTCACCGTTCAATCTGATCTCAGACCGGAGGCAATCTGCGCCCATTAAGTAATAAATATCAAATTAGAACTCCCAATAATAATAATAACAATAATAATTTCCCTTGCCAAACATGTTCTGTATGATTACCCTTATGTTATGTTTGGTATTGGGAACATCGCGATGGTCACGTGGACAACGATGTCATTTTCGTCTCTTTCTCTTGTCTTCCCAATATGCTCTCAGTTGCCAAACAAAACTAACACCAATTAATTACTCCCATTCCTCCCTCACATTCACCCATTTCCCAAACCTCCCAATTCCCAAACATCTCAACTTTTAATCCAAAATTCACAGAAACTTCTCACAATTTCATGGATTTCTTCAAATTGATCACTTTGATTTCCACCCTCTACATCATTCTCTCATCAACAACACCCACTTCATCAAATTCTTCTTTAACCCCAAAAGAGTTAGCATATGTCCCAGTGAATTTTCTCAGTCTGGCCAAAAGTCCAAAGCTTGTTGATTGGATGGTGGGAATTAGGAGGAAAATACATGAGAACCCAGAACTTGGTTTTGAGGAATTTAAGACGAGTGAGCTTATCAGAGCCGAGCTTGACAAAATGGGCATCCCATATAAGCACCCGGTGGCTATCACCGGTGTTGTGGGCTTCGTCGGAACCGGAAAACCGCCATTTGTTGCCTTAAGAGCAGACATGGATGCTCTGGCCATGCAGGTCAGTCTAGTGTCTATATATATAGAGGTGACTACATGTGTGAAATCAAAGAACTATGACAGTTAGTTGAATTTAAAGTTATTGGATTTGAGAATTGTGAGAATTATTTGAAGTGATTGGATTTGAGTGAAATGAAGTATTTTAAAGAACCATGTTTTGAATATATATATATTTTTTTTTTGAAAAAAAAAAACCAAATTCTGAAAAGTATGACAGTTTACATCAACTCAGGTATGCACAAAGCCTACCATTAGTATTACCAAAAGTGAATTACATTTTGAAATGCAAGTTTCGACACATGACCCACTCACTTTTGTTCTAAAATGATAAATTTGACGGTTCAAAATGATCCTAAACGTTTGACAAAACAGAACATAAAAAAAAAAAATGATAATATGCATAAAAATTTATTGACATATGATGAAAAAAAAAATAGCATTCAAATAGTACACATTAATGTCCAAAGTTTTACCATTGAACTAATGTTGACATATGGTTGATTTAGAAAAAATAAAATTTATATTTTATTGGATATCTAATTGTTAAAAAAAAAATCTCTAGACTATAAGTACTTTAAATTCTTATAGTGTAAATTATATAAGTGCATTCTATCGTATCACAATTTAAAACATGTAGCATATCACGTCAAGCTAATATAGCTTACAATCAAGTTGGTAGAGAATGCCCACACAAGAGCAGTTATGTCATACAAAATCACTTTTAATTTTTTTTCTTGAAATCTCTCTAATTACTTCAATTATAGATTTCAAAGCACACATATCATGAATGTACAACCACGAGTATATATATATATATATGCATATTGGTTTACATGCATATTTGCTAATTTGTAGTTGTTTGCATTAGGTAAATGCTTTTGGGAATTGAGTTAATTTTACTTTCATGCCCTAAACCATCGTCATTTTTCTATATTATCATTAAACTACTCCATCAATCTCATATATTATTAGAGTTTCTAATTTCAATTAATGAGGTCCAACAAGAGACAATTGTCCAAATTCGAAAGCATTCAAGTTTAATTTTATAGGCAAAATAGTCATTTTGAAATTTGAATAACTTAAATCATACAACAAAACACTCATTTTTTTATTCACTATTTGAGATGAGGGGCAGAGAAAAAAATGGGTGTATGGTTAGGGTGTAAGTTGTCTAATACAGTGTGAGTAAGAAGTTGAGTGTTTGACCGTATAGTTTAGGCTGTGTTTGGTTATATTTTCTAATTATAATTATTGTCATCCAATCAACAAATGACCCATCCAAAAAATTTAGACTATGTTTAGTAGAGTTTTTAAAAATTAATTTCAATTCTTATATTTGAATGCTATGTTTTGTTTGAGTTTTCAAATCATAATTTCAAATCAATTTCAAAATACATTTTGAAAACATATTTGGTGAAACAGACAATTTTTAAATTTTTGGTCTACTAGATCATCTGCCCGGATATCTTCCAGGATGTCCGGCCGGTTGACCAAAAAAGTATATATATATATTTTTTTGCAATTGCCAATCACCACCTGTTATTTGGAGGGGGAAAAAAACAAAACTATATTTGTTTTTTATATTTGTTATATGTATAAATTATTTTTTTAGACCAAAATCAAATTATTTTTTTGAATTGAATTTCAAAAAGAGTTTGATTATGAATTTTGAATAAAATTTTCAATAGAGTTTTGAGTTGTGAGTTTGGTTATGAGTTATAAGTTTTCGAATTAAGTTTTGAAAACTCTTTTCAAAACTCATAACCAAATAACTTTTCTCATTTCATAGGTCACATAAAAAATTCAAAACTCATAACCAAGCAAATTTCTCTTTTCAAATCATAATTCCAAAACTCACAGATTCAAAATACAACTCTATTCTCAAATTATAATTCTAAAACTCTACCAAACACTACCTTAGATTTTCCAAATTGTAAAATTACCTTTTTGCATAGTAGGTGAGGTTTACACACAAATTTGGACATGATGTCTTCAATTGGACCATATAAAAAAAAAAAAAAAAACTCAAGAGACTAATGTATAAAATCAATAGTTTAAGTTTGAATTTTTTTTTTTTTAAAATGACGATGGTTTAGGGGCCAAAAGTAAACTCTTCGGGCTTTATGCAAAGGCAATTCATTCTCTTTTGATTTGAGTATATAGAATAATGATTGAAATTTTGCAATGGTGTTGTTCAATGTTAGATCCTAGATTCTTATGTGAATCTTCTTTAAATACTATGTTGAATATTAAATTGTTCCAAAAAGAAAAAAGGTCTGTTGAAATTTAAAAATAATAATAAAATAAAGAGTTTTGATGATTGCAGGAGAGTGTAGAATGGGAGCACAAGAGTAAAATTCCAGGAAAGATGCATGGCTGTGGCCATGATGCCCACGCCGCGATGCTTCTTGGTGCAGCAAAATTGCTTCAAGAGCATCGTCATGATTTACAGGTTCAATTATCTCTTTTCTGAATTTTTAGCAACTTGATTATGAATTTCTAAATGCCTTTTATATATTGAAAGTCTTGTTACAGCATAATTGTTCATCACTATATTGATTTTCAACAATTTTATCTATGTTCCACCTTGCTCGGGCACATGTGAACATCCTTTGGAAATGGATTCTGCACACTCACAAAGGTGTGCTAGAAATTTTCATGTGGCTTGAGCAATTTTAGATTGAATTGGAAATTACAGAAAGATCTATATTTGAATTGTTAGTTACAGAAGGCTAATTTGGGAATGAAAATTTTGTGACAAAAAAGTGTCAATACTGACTCAACGTTTTATGTATGTAATAGAATAGACATGCACACAAATTGGTTGAATAGGCTAGTGATTCTTCATCTGTAAATCTCTCTGTCTCGTATGTTCCAATGCACTCTCAACCACATGATGAGGTGAGAATCTCGAGACATGATCATACAGATAAAAATACAATGGGACATAGGGATAAAAGGGATTTGGGGACAGAGGATCCTGTGGCAGTTGAATGAAATAAAATAAAATCTACAATCAACAAAATGAAAAAGATTATAAATTTATATCTGTAGTTATGTGTATGTTTGGGTACTTCTCCCATTTGTTTTCAATGTTCGTAATAGGGCTTGTACGTGATAAATTTGAATATGTGGAGAGAGAGAGAGAGAGAGAGTATGATGTTCATTGTCAATAAGTTGTTCATCACCATCTAGTAATGCAAGTGTGACATTTTGTTTCATAAAACACCTTTTTTTGGGCCATGATCCTTTGTTCTCAAAAAGGTCTGTCCTCATGTCTTATCACTCACAACTACACGGATTGATTTTTTTAAATTAAAAATGATATTGCATAGCCTGAATGTGTGGGACAAGGGGACCTTTTTTAGGACAAGAGATCCCATGTCCACCTTTTCGCATTAAAAGCTCAATTATAATTATTTTTTTCTCTCAAAGAGTCGTAATTATTGTTGCTAATGTCGTAGTATTAATAATGTTGTTGTATCTGTGAACTGGTATATGCATAATCACGAGAAAATTTGTACAATTTATATTTTTTGGGGTGAATAGGGAACGGTGATTCTGGTTTTCCAACCGGCAGAGGAAGGAGGCGGAGGAGCAAAGATGATGTTAGAAGTCGGGATATTAGAGAATGTTGACGCCATTTTCGGGCTGCATGTCTCATCTAGATTTCCTATTGGTACAGTTGCTGGCAGGAGTGGCCCTGTCTTGGCTGGGAGTGGTTTCTTTGAGGCCGTGATAAGTGGGAAAGGGGGACATGCTGCCATTCCCCAACATATAATCGACCCAATCTTAGCAGCTTCCAATGTAATTGTTAGTTTGCAACATCTCGTTTCACGTGAAGCCGATCCCTTGGATTCACAGGTCTCTCTCTCTCTCTATCTCTCTCTTAATGTATGTGCATGCGCGTGCGCGTGTGTGATCTCAACCCCTAAGAAGGTTTTTCTTATTCTTTGAAACAGTTGAATCAAAATGAATCAAGAGTCAAATGCCCAAAACCCTTCTTCCTTAAAAGGTGCAAAGTTTTCAAAATTTTCACTTTTCTAAATCATAATCATCATGATTTCTAAAAATTATATATACAGAACAAAATTGCATTGTGTTCTTGTTTTCTACATTTTCATTTTCATGTTTTCAAAAACAAGACCAATGAAATGTTCGTAAACTCTCATTGTTTGTATAGCATTTTCATTTCTTGTGTGTAAATAGTTTTTTGAAATTTCGAAAACAACTTTTTCGGTATTTCCTTTCGAACACAATTCGCCTAACTAGTTTTATATCTTCTTCACTAGTTGACAAACCTATATATCTATTTCACTCATTGAAGAATATTTGTAATTTCTTATCTTCTTTTTCATCTCTCATCGTTCAAGTAAAGGTTCCATGTTTAGTCTTTTTCTTTAGATATGAAATAATGGAATCTTTTACTTTCTATGTTGCATCCCAGCTTAGCTTCAAAAATTACAAAACCAAAACCAATTATTTTGTATTCCTTTGCGCGCACGCGCACACACACACACAAAAAAAAAGGTATTTTGTGCACAAATTACACATCTTTTACTTTTTTTCAACCATCACATGTGTGCTTATTCATCTTGCAGGTAGTGACAGTGGCAAAATTCCAAGGAGGTGGTGCATTCAATGTAATTCCCGATTCAGTTACAATTGGTGGAACATTTAGGGCATTTTCGAAAGAAAGTTTGATTAAACTTAAACAACGAATTCAGGAGGTACAGTTGTTAAAAACCACCAACTTACATGCCCTTTTTTTTTCATAGTTAGAAGATTGAGCAAGAATCACAACATTACCTTCACCATGATACGGACGTCCAGAAATCCATCTTATTTATTATGTATCAATAAAAAAATTACCCTACCCCCCCTAAGCTAATGAGCAAGGAATGAGTGGAGATTTCATACAAGTGATGGACCTGTAAGGCCTGGTCCACACGCCATTGGGGAATGGGGGGATTAGGGGAGCCTTAGCTCTTAGAATCGAATTCCAAACTGTTGTGGCACTCTGGGATGCTTCTGATCAATATAGAACAGGATGAATCAACCAAAAAGAAAGACCACCAAGATAATCATTGAGAAACTGAAATCGTGCTTGGTCATTCATTTTTGTTTGTTTTTTATTTTATTTTCTATTTTATATTTTCTGTATAGCATCTCATTACAGATAAATGCAAATGACAGGTCATCACGACACAAGCGGCTGTGCATAGGTGCAATGCAACTGTCAACTTCGATGACAAGCCCCTTTACCCCTCAACCGTAAACAACAAAGAGTTGCATCAGTACTTTGGAAATGTTGCAAGGGATATGCTGGGCGAGAAAAACGTTTTAGAGATGCAACCATTGATGGGGGCAGAAGACTTCTCGTTTTTTGCAGAGGCGGTTCCAGGATACTTCTACAGGGTTGGAATGCAAAATAAGACTCAGGGCCAGCTTGGACTGGCGCACTCTCCGTACTTCACTGTAAATGAAGATGTACTTCCATATGGTGCTGCATTACATACATCATTGGCTATAAGATACCTCCTTGAATATCAACAACCCAGGTCTGCTTCATCTAAGGGAAGTTCTCGTGATGAATTGTGAGGTTATTTGATTCTCGAATTGTACATATACATAGATTTGAGACCAGAAATCGCCCCGGCAGGGGGTTAGATTTTTATTATCCATTTTGGCAACGTATATCTGTTTTGTATTGTTATATATATTCAGATTCCAAAGTTTTTAGTTTCTGGTGTCAATTTTTTACACCATCAATTTTTGCCCAACTTGAAGTAATGAAACATAGAACCTTTGTGTTTTAAACAAGAAAGGAAGAAAACAGCACCTTAGTTTGATAAAACAGAATGCTTTATCCCCATTTCAATCATGAAGGGAAAGCATGGGGGTCAATACAAGTGGCTACTCTCTCTCTCATTACATTGGAGGTTGTAATCTGGGTTTGTTGCTAATGAGCTATAATGAGCTATATTAGGAGGCAACCAACATATATGAAGCCTCTTTGGGCACGGCTATAAAGTCTTGGAGAACGAGACAAGAAAAGTCTAGACGGACCCAACAATACAGGGGAGCTACAGGCACTCTTTGAAGATGGGCTTGACCTATAGCCTAAACTCAGCCCTGTCGGGAGCATAGGTGCAATCTCTATCTTTCTCCTTCTCTCTCTTTATCTCCCTCGAGAATTTGTATTATTATTGTTACTATTTATTATTTTTGTTACATGGGAAGCTATAACTTTTTAGTTTGGTGGGGGAGAACTTGAACCCTTGACCTCTTAGTGAAGTGCAAATATTCTGACCAATTTAAATAACCCAATTGATTGAATTTGTAGTTTTCTACATTATTGTGAAAACTCTTTATTCCCTTTCCCAGAGCAGGAAATTACAGAGCAAGCCAATTAGGGAAGTCCTGCTATCATGGCCATTCTCTTTTTTTTTCTCTCTCTCTCTCACTCATGGTAAGTTATGTATGTCCTATTGAAAAGCTTTGACCCCAACCCATTTTGGCAAGGAAGCTGGTATACATAGAAACATACGTATTTATAGCCTTGAAGGATCAAAATTTAAAAAACAAAAAATAATTCCAAGCTTTACTTAAACCACCAAAACGTACACACATCATTGCATATTAGAGAGCAACTTTTTTTTTTGAATCTTCACACCTCTTTCCCCTCTCTCTCTCTCTCTCTCTCTCTCTCTCTCTCTTTCTCTCTCTCTCTCCTCCATGAAACCCTCAAATTCAAGCTCATCACACAAACCCACAAATGGCTCTATTTCATTTATGTCTCAACCTCAACTTGTGGACCTAGTAAGGTGTAATCACCAGAGGTTCTGGACATCGGTGACCCAGAAGCTCAAGAGGTACTTGACATATTACAAGCTAACAAAGCCAGAAACCAAAGATAAAGAGAAGGGGAAGATGAGAATGGATTCGTGTAACTTGTCAGAGAAGAAAACTAGCTAAGGTGATGGTGGCAAGTTGCCAAAGAAGAACTGTAACTATTATAGCGAAATGAATGAAGATGAGATGAATGAGAAGCTGAAATCTGCCATCTGTTACTGCAAGGATTCAAAATGCCAGGTTAGTGAACATCAGTCCTGATTGCACGATGCAGTAGAAATTTCAAAATATGAAAATCTTGAAGCACCATTGTGTAGCCGGAAGGGTATTAGGGACACGGGTTTTGAGAGACAGGAAATCCCGTGTCCGAGTGAAAAAAACTATGGGATAATCCAGATCAGGAACAGAGAGGACTGTGAATTTGAATCTAGATGGGTATGGCTTACATGAGTTGAAGAAGGCTAGCATTGAATCTCTGTTTGATAACCATTTCGTTTTCAGTTTTCAGTTTATATTTATAAAAATTTTAAAAACTGTCATAAAAACTTGTTCGATATATATATATATATATATTTGATTTATAAATGATTGTCTCAGTTTATAAATTTGAGAAAAAAAATGTAAACTCAAAAAATGAGTTTACGTTAGTTTTTAAACACAATTTTTTTTTTTTTACTAACAAATTTTTTTTTTCAAATAATTTTTTTTTTCAATAATTTTTTTAATTATTTTTTTTTTCAATTATAATGTGTATAATCCTATTGTCATAAATAATAAAAAATAAATATAAATATTTTAGGCCTGAACAAACATATTTTTTAGTTCATGTTTTTAAACTTTTTCAAACATTTTGTTCAAACCAAACGCGTTTATAATTACTACAAAAAACGAATTGAAAGTTTGTTGCAATGTGTATTAAAAAAATATAAAATCAAAATAAATAAATAAATAATAACTTTTAAGTTAAAATATAACAAAAATTTAACTTAGTTTGACGAAAATGTTCTCACATCTACATGAAGACTATGAATGCCAATATAAGAGAGAGGAAGGGAGGAACGGAGGGAGGGAGGGGCCAAAACCCCTTGGCCTAATATTTTTATGAAAAAAAGAAACAAGTTAATTGTATTCTGCTAAACAGGGAGGTTCTATTTACACACACACATTCCTCTTTTTACACATCCTTCTTAATTTACACACCAAAAAAATATAAAAAAAAAAAATTTACTCATCACACACAATTTTGTTCCAATTACATCTCATACACACACTCCCATCCACACACCTTCTTCCACACCAGCAAGCAACGATCAAACCCTATCTCTCATCAATGGTGTTCAGAGAGAGAGAGAGCGGTCGCGGCGGGCACGTTCCTTCTCGGCCTCGCGCTTCTAGGCCTCCACCTCCTCGTCGCCGTGCTAGGAGAGGTGGTTGCACTACTGTTGGAACCGCCATTTGGGGCCGAAGCGAGGGTGAGGAGGTGGCTTACCGTTGACGAGGTGGAAGGTGGCGTCGTCGTCGGCAGCGGCGGCGCCGCCGAAGGAATCGTTGCCGGTGAAATCGAAGACGGAGTCGGAGGGGTGGGTGCGGGTAGGGTTGTAGTTGTGGGTCCAGTCGGCAAGGACTGCTCCGACTTCAAAGCCCACCATTGATGAGAGATAGAGAGAGACTGCAATAGATGAGAGGAAGAAGACGACGATGGTTAAGAGGGAAGACGAAGAGTGGTCACTAGAGAGATAGAGAGAGAGAGGGGGGTATTTTTGGTAGTTTCATTTTAGGACAAAAATGTAATAAAAAAAAAATTCATTAAGTGTGTGTAAAGAGGGTGAATTGACTATAATAACCCTGTATATATAGAGAGATAGAGACTCGCATCATCAAATCATTCCCGCTTTAGTTTCCTTTAAAACACTCTCCAAAAAACTCTTATTCGAAAGCCAAATCATGGTGTTTTGGTACATATTCATTGCTATTTCTCTTGTACGTTGGTTTTTATATCACAAATATCATCTTCTACATAATCATTGATCATCAACTCGTCTTCAATGTCGATCTGTTTGAATATCAGGGTTGGAGGTTTAAATCTGTAAAATCTCAAATGAAAATGTTGTTACGGTATTTTTAGTAGCGAAAATAGTAAAATTTTACTACCTACCAGAGTAAAAAAAATGTTGTAAGAGAAAAAAATTTCAAATCAAAGTAAAAGTTTATTATCAATTTTATAAACAGACCAAAGTAGAAATTCTACTGCCATTTATAGACAGATTGTCACCAAACGTCTTCTTAAATGTTAAAATTTCATAATAAATTTACTGTGAATTAGATTAAAATTTTATTGTGATATAGAGTAAAATTTTATTGTTGACGTTAGTTTCGACGATAAAAATTTTAACATTTTTTTTTATAGGAATTCATGGCCAATATGGATTTTGTTTGATATATTTTAACGAGAGGATTCTAAAAATACTAATTGTATTAGGAACCAATATATAGATCAGAAGTTATATCATTTCAAATTTGAAATATAAAATTATTTACTAAGGGCAAGATCGTCCATAAAAAAATGTAAAATTTTTTGTTTATCTTTCATAAAAGACACGCTAAAAAGGGAGCTTTTATTTTCATATTCCATTTTCTCTTTGTTCACACACTTAATGATATTTTATTTTATTACAATTTTTTCCTAAAGTAAAATACCAAAATGTCCTTATCTTCTCCACCAAAATCCTAAGTTCCTAAACCTAATCCTAGCCACCACCACCATAAACCACCATTGCTGCAACTTTGCCACCGCGAAATCTCCGTTGCCACTAGCTTCCCACCATTGCAAACTCAGTCTGCAATCTCTCTTCGGCACCCTTGTAACCACCACACTTTATTATGTCAAAATCATAGTCGTAACCCTTGTCTCTCTCTCTCTCTCTCTCTCTTTCTACGAAACCCTAACCATTGCAACTTCTCTCTTTAAAACCCCAGTCGCCGACAATCTCTCTTTATTTCAAAACCCTAGTCTCACGATCTCTGTGTGTGTGAATCTCTCTATATTGTCATCGTCGAAGTGTGGGGAGGGTTGGTGCGTTGTACGTGAGGGAGTTGCAAGCATCAAGGGTCACAATGAGGGTGTTAGAGATGATTGGGTAGGGGTGTAGGTACGAAAGGGATAGTGGAAAAGGGCCATCGGAGATAGTGGTAGCAGTGAATGTGAAATGGGAGGCTCGCGATGATGGCCGCAGTTCATTGTGGTTTATGGCGACTGTGGTGGTGGCAAGCGGTGGCTAGGGTCAGGTTAGGTTTGAAGGTTTGAAGGAGTTAGGGGTATTTTTTATAAGAGTGTTGCTATTAGCATCCCATCAATTATTTTGGAACTCCTATTTTTTAGCTTTTCTTATTATAATAATAACCTCAAGTGAAATTACTAAAAAGAATATCAATAATTTTGGAATACCCCATCTCACAATTAAGCCCACATACATACTACATGATGAGTTAGGGTTTATAAGATTACCTACCTCCAATACCACCCATCCGTCTTCTCCAAATCCCACCTTCAAAACCTACCCACCCTCAAAACCTTGAAAACCTTTTGGCGGCAATATTCTGGCGGCAACAGTGGCAACCATTTGATTACATACACTTCTTCAAAAATGACAATGACTGGAAGTTTTTCAAGCAACCACAACTCCATGAGACGAGAGGAGTACAAAAATAAAAGCTTAGAAGACGTTCATTGCTTTGAGGTTCATAAAAACTGTTCGTCATTTTTTCGGGACTGAACTCCTGAACATATGATCAAAATTCGAGAACAGAAGCCCAAACAATGTTTATTTGTTCAAGAATAGGTAACCGAATATTTCTTATTTGTTCGAGAACAAATAACCGAAGTAGCA